CTGACTATCACAGAATACTATAGACATATGCAAGTTTTCACTGATTTCACTAATCAATCCTTTCAGCCACATAGCCTCCTTACATGCCTTTGTAATGACCATGTATTCTGCTTCTATTGTAGACAAAGCTACTGTATTGTGTAAAATAACTTTCTAACTGATAGCACAGCCTCCAAGGGTAAACACAAGTGATCTCCTTTTATCAAGATCCCCTGTATAATCTGAATCCACATACATTTCTACCAACATGCAAACAAACATTAGAAGAGCTCCTCAAGTATTTGAAGATCCACTACACCACTTTTCAATGTTTCTTGCCAGGATTTGTCATGTATCTACTAACTGCACTAACTGCGTGTGCCAAATCAGGTCTTGTACGAACCATAATATACATGAACGAACCAACTGCACTGGAATAAGGAACTTGAGACATGTAATCAATGTCTTTATCTGACTGAAGACACAAGTTAGATGATATTTTAAAGTGAACAGCCAGAGAGTATTGACAACCTTTGCATTTACCATATTGAATCTTTCAAACACCTTTTCAATGTACCCCTTTTGACTCAAATATAATGTGCTAGCCTTTCTATTTCTCAAGATTTCCATACCAAGAATATTCTTTGTTGTACCTAAAACTTTCATATCAAAATCTTTGTTGAGTTGAAACTTCACTTGTTTGACCTCTACTTTATCTTTGGCTACTATGAGCATATCATTAACATATAATAAAAAAAATATGTAGTCGATCCACAATTTTCCTTTCTGAAATACACACAACTATCATAATTACACATAAAGAAACCATAAGCTGTCATGAATGAGTCAAACCTCTTATATCACTACCTCGGTGACTGCTTTAGTCCATACAAGCAGTTCTTCAACAAGCATACAGTCTTCTTTTTCAAAGATTGTGAACCCTGTAGTTGTTGCAAGTAAATGCTCTCTTCAAGTTCTCCATATAAGAATGCTATCTTGACATTTATCTGTTCAAGCTCCAAGATATTCTTAGCCACTACTCCAAGTAAAGTTCGGATGGAACTGTGCTTCACAATTGGTGAGAACACATCTGTAAAGTCAATACCTGAAATCTGAGTGTAGTCATTTGCATCAATCTAGTCTTGTATCTAGCATTCAATCCCTGATGTGCCTTCCTTTTTTTTTATTTGAACACCCAATTGCAGCGAACAACCTTTTTATCTCTAGGTAATTTCACCAAATCTCAAGTGTTATTTTTCTCAATAACTCCATCTCCTCCTGTATAGTAATCATCCACCTGCTAGAATCACTGCAATCGTCTGTCTCTGAATATGCAGCAGGCTCTTCAGTGGAATTAATGTTTTCAGCTACACTCCATGCATAAGCTAACAAATCTTTTTCCCCATGCTTCTGTGAAGGTCTAATCTGTCTATGAGGTCTATCCTTAGCTATTGAATACTATGGTGCTGGTGGTATAGGCAAGATATTAATGTCTATCATCCCCGAACTGGATTGATATGTAGTAGACTGTTTTGCAACTTCGGCTTTATTTATTTTTTTTCAAATCTTTCATCTCAAGTGCATTTTCAGGTCATTTGAAGTTTTGTTGAGTTCTCAGGTGTTCCTACTAAACTTAGATCATCAATATAAACTAACCAATTTGTAAGTTCAATATCTATTTTCTTTATGAAAATATATAGGTAGGTATCGTCATTTTTATAATCTTCTTTCAAAAATATTACCTAAGGCGATTATATAAGACAAGCATGAATTTTTTTAAATGTATAATGGTATTTATAGTCTGATTAAATGTAGAGTCTTGGAGAATGAATTATTTTCTTCTGGAACTTTAAATCTTTAAGGGACTTCCATGTATACGTCACTATCATACAAATAGGTAGGTAGTTACGTTGTTTGTTGAGCTATTCTAAGACATGTAAATTATTCAAACATCAAAGTGTAATAATGTTTCTCACAAGGAAAATATTTTTCCTATCCTTTAAAGATTTTATAATAGAAAAATATTTGCATTTTACAGGGATTATATTTTAAGTATTCAAACTACAGGTCTAAATATTTTGTTTTACTCCATAGAATCGATTTCTCCTACATAGCTTCTTTTTATTTTTGGCAGATAATTTATATGTCCAATTCTTTCGTGGAGTCTACTCTGATATCCCCACTATCATCAATAATATAGAGCACTACAAAAATTTGTCTACAAACATTTCTTTTCGACTCCACCTATTCTGATAATAACACAGTTATTATATTTTTCACCCATTAATATTTCGTTTCTATGATTATCTGACGTCTAAATGCACTAAGTACTTCTATATCTTGGTTTAGGTTGCAAATGGGTGAAAAAAGGTGGAAAATGGAAGAAACAAGTGAAAAAGGATCAAAATGGAAGAAAATGAAAGTTTAGGGACTGAAGAACAAATACTCTAAACTTGTTTCCAACCTTGTGATGAAGATTCGAGAGCATTAGAAGTCAATTGGATGAAGAAAGGAGTCAAACTGATGAAATATAGCCAAAACATAATCACAAATAAGCTTTCAAGCTGAAAAGTTTTGCACCAGTTTTCAATCTCATATTGAAATTCTCTTTTGACATGGTAGACGATCAAATTCGAAGTTTACATCTGAATCAAAGTTGTAGCCATTTTAGTTAGCTTCCCAGCACATTTTGAATCACCTCAATTGGATATCGGGAGAAAAAGTTATGACCAAAATACTAAAATCTTTCCAACGAGAAAACATTATAACTATGAGGTCGCATTGTTATAAATCCATGCGGCCGTATGGAAGCCTTCAGCGAATTCAAGAGCAGTAACTCTTTGTTCCATGCAACCGCATGTGTCATTTCCGGCAAAAATCTTCTATTTCCGGACTTTTGCTTAATCACTTATGGAAACTTTTTGGATGCGTTTTTCTTGACCTAAATTCGACCAGAAGAGGGAAAAACGCCTCATTCATCAACTGTCACCTTTTTTTTTTTTTTTTATCAATTTTCTCTCAAGAACTCCTGGAAGGCTAAAAAATATTGGTGAAGCAAGGGAGGAACTCATTCGGATTAGGTGATTTCACGTCGTTTATTCATGTTTTTTGGTATTTATTTTGCTAAACACTTCTAGATCTAAATTTTCATCTTTATGAGATAATTGTGAAATTGATTTAACATGTTTTAAATTTTTTTTCATAGAACAATCTCGTTTTTTCTATCAAACAATTGAACTATGTGTTGAATTTCTATTTCATTAAATCTATTGGTGTGGTTATCTACTTTCTTATGCTATATGTATATGAATGATTTATAATCTAATTTTAATATATGATTGTAATAATTGTTAAGGGAATCTAGAATTTGGGAGTGAAATTATGAAGAATGATCTGATCTGAATGAGGGAATTTCAATGCTTCACTACCTTAAATCACCGAATTTTAGCTCATATTATTTTTGATATTAAGTTAATTGATCAACAATTCGACTCTCCCGCAAATTTAAGAGGACAATTCATCCTATTTTGGAACCTTTGACAACTTTTTCATCTCCCTATGGATATGACACCCTAAAACTACACTAAAACACCGCATAAATATTTGGACGTAATCATATTCCCTTAGTAACAAAACTTTATCAAGATCCCTTCAGTCACACATTTCAGGTACGTGAACCTCTTATGAGGTTAATTGAGCATTTATCTCTTTTGATCATTTCAAAACTGTATCTTAAATAAGACCATCTTAATTATTTGCTAAGTTTTTCAGTCTTTAGGGACTTTGTCTTTGGAATCAATTTGTCTAACATGCTTCATGCATGTGTTAGATTTGCTAACTTTAATAATAAATAGACTATCCAACTGGAACATAAACTAAAATTGGAGCATTTGTAGCTTGTGTGTAATTTTATTAGTATTGCATTTGGCAATTGATTTGCTATTATTGAACTTCTGGTTTACATTGCCTTGTGCAAGGATAGCTATGATGTCATGTATATAATTTATGTTGCAGTTATTTAGTTTACCATAAACAATATTAATCAGCAAACAACATTGTAAAAAGATTATCCTCTAGCAATTTTTTGTATAGAAGAGATTTAGGACCCAAAAGATATTTCCAATCTTTGTTGCAAAGAGAACCATTTTTTCATGGAAGACTTAAAATAAAATGTTGGCTTAATGCATGTAAATAAAATATATCAAAACAGAAATATGAAAATTTGTTCTCATGAGAAGTATTCTAGTAATTTCCTTCAGATTGTGATTGGATCATTTAGTAGATGCATCTTTTAAAGTCATGAAATATCAAAATGGTCCAAGGGTGAATGGGCCCAAATATATCACCCTCAATAATTCAGAAAATAAAGAGAATTCATTGTCAACTTAAGCTAGTTAAGGTCTTATGGACACTTTGAGAACAAGTGGCACATAGGAATCTCATCACGTTGAAGAATCTTCTAGTTCTTAAGTAGATATTTTGCTTCATCATTGATCTAGAATCGTCTAACCAATCATGTCAAGCAACTAAATCTTCACGATTTAGAATTTCTTGTTCAAATTTTTATTTTTTTATTTCATTGGCGTTAACGATATGATTATGACCTTTAATCTGAAGTATATAGAATCAATATGATTTCATGTATTGGTTATCTTGTATTCTATGACCTTAGTGATTTTGTCAGTCTACATATCAACATATATAAATCTCACTATTGAACAAATTAATCAAAATTTAAATAATAAAAATCTATAGATTTTTAAGCATGTCAAATATAGTTACTTTTATAAGCATTGAATAATTAACTTACTTGACAACATCGGTGTAGGACAATTTTTTCTTAATTCAAATACAAATTATGTCTTATGTACTTCTCTACAAAAGTACATAACTTATATTATCATAAAATGATCGAGGGCTCTTAATCACTTACTATGATATGCAGTGAATAATTAAATCTAAATCAATGAACATTTATTATTAATAAAAAAGTAATATTCTAAATTATAATTATGTCACTACTAAACACCAAACCTAAAATAACTTTCACCACCATGGACTACCACATCCACCAACCATCGACCACCACCATTGCAACCCTTTGCTAACGATGCCTCCACAACCACCACTTCTCCCTCTCCATCCCTAAACCATCTATACCACCATCCCCAAGTCACCATTAATCACTGCCAAGCATCACCACTCAAATCTAGTCTGAAACCACCCACTACCCTCTAGCAAAACAAACCGCCACTGCTCCCATCGCATCACCACCTCCACCTCCTCCTACTCCAACCACTTCTCCCCCGTCAAAAAATCCAATTCCTTCAACCACCTTTCCACCACCTACATCCTCAACACTATCCCCACACTATCTCCTCCATTTGATTCTAGATTTAAAATCAGATCTAGTTTTCGAAACTAGATTTGAAATCACACGAACATCCATGGCTAAGCTAGCTCTGGTCATGGGTTTCTTATTGTTAGGAAAATATAAACATGCATAAATTAAATCGAACTGAATTTAATTGTGAATAATTAAACATGCATAAATTATATTTTAATAACATATCGAAACCGAATACGAGAAGTAGAAATGAGAGCATGAAAGTTAATTTGGTTGAGGTAAGCATTGAACTCTTTGTCCTTAAATAATTATATCCTCAATGGGTGCTCACAATTTTCTAGCATTCCTCTCTCAAGATACAACGATTACGTCTTGCAATAGCA